AATGCGCATTACGACTTAAGTATTAAGTCATAAGATCATATGACATCATATGAGTCAAGTGGAAGAATGTTAGAATTAATTTAATTCATTTATTTTATTATGTGAAATGTAATGATAGATCCAAATGTGATTTAATAAAATATAAAGACCTATTGTTTATTATGGGAAGTTAGAATAAAAAAAATAAAAAATAAAAACTTATGGTAACCAACTTGGACGTTGATTAATAAAAGGGATTAGGGTTCTATATCTGACCATAAAGATCTTATCACAGAAAGTCATCAAGAAAGCGTGAAAAGAGAAAAGAAAGACAGAGATAGATTGAGAAAAAGATATTGAAGAACAAAAAGATTAAATAATAGACTCTCACATATCAATGTTAGTAGTATTCTTATTATGATTTATGTATTCATGTACGTTATAGTGTGAAAATCAATAATTTAAAAATCATGTAGAGTAATTCTAGAATGAATTAATAACGTAGGAAAATTACAAATTAACTTACATTTTTTGCTAGTTCCTCGAAAAATTTAAGAAGTTCATGTTGTATCCTGTTAGACTTGCGTAATATACTGCGAATAAATTTTTAAGGGTAGAAATTATACACTCTCCAATAAGGAAGACTTGCTTGTGTTCTTGGTGAGATCTTATAACAACTTATATATACATTTCTCATTTTCCAAATTTAATAATCACTAAATATACCTATTTATATGTTTATACATTTCTTATATTTTTTTATTATTTATTAATAATATTTTTATTTAACAAAAAAATCAATAATCAATAATTCTAATTAAAGAAAAAAATGATATTTAGATACGTGAAATACTAGCATAACACCCAAGAAATTTATAGTGAGATTTTAGCGGCATGTTATTCACCGCAGAAAGGTGATATTTTGAAATTGGTATACCTTTCAATAACTAAAAAAAAATATTATATTAAATAATATTATAACATTAATATAATAAATTGTAGGATATATAGATGCTTGTCAAAGAAATATTTATCATAATCGCAAAATAGATACACATGACTGCATTTAGTTAAAAGTCTAATATGTGAAACCAGTATAGTAAATTAATTGTATCCAATAATATAAAGAAGCAAATATTAATTTAAGAGTTGAGTTATTAATTTAAAATAATTACATTTTAGTATTTGAAAATTGTTTACTATGATTCATATTTTTAACAATAGAATGTTGAGTGAATGATAAACTTGTAAAAGGTAGTAGTAAATTTTTATTTTATGAATCACAAAATTAATTAAATATATAATTTATAAAATTATTATAAAAATAAATTATAAAGTAAATTTATATATATATATATATAATATTATAAATTTATTTTCAATTCATATATAAATTTTAATTTTTATTCCTTTTTATCTATTTTATTAGTTAATTATTTTATATGAAAGTATATCTTATTTTTATTTTTAATTTATTCTTATTAATATGATTTATTTTTAACCAGTTTAATCAATTTTTTTAAGTATAATTTTTTATTTGCTTATTTTTATTTTTTATTCTATTTTATTTATTCTAATCAATCTTTTTTTTTTTTCACTCCACATATTCATCTCAATGCAAATACAAGCTTTGTTTAAAATATTCAATTTTTTATATAAAAATAATCATGAGCCTTATACAACACTTGTTTATGATACAAATCAAGAATTTATATTGTTAAAATCATCATTTCAATATTTCAATTGCGTACTAGTATTATTACGATGTGAGAAATTATTGAACAAACGAGAAGTATCTTTATCTTGTTACATCAATTTAGTATTCCTAGGATGACAACAATTCTCATATTTTTTTAATTTATTATTAAAAATTATTTATATATAATATAATATTATTTTCTATTATCGTGTTCTAAAATTAATATGCTTAATTAATATTGTACGGACGGAATTATAATTATGAAAAAGAATCATTATAAATATTTTAATATTTGTATGTATATATATATATATATATATATATATATTTAAAATTATATTGATTTTTAGAAATATAAAATAAATATTTTAATATTGATAATTTTTAATATATTTTCAAGTCCATCTTATATTTCTAAATATGATAAGAATATTTTACTATTAATATGCATCATCTTATCACCCATAGAGTTTGTTCCTTTGAAGGAAAATTACAAAATGAAATATATATTGATATAAAAAATGATTAAATAAAAAATATTTCTTTATTAATAAAAAGCTGACAAAGAAATATTACTTTTTACAGATCTTCCCATTTTAGTAAAAAATCATAATTATTCTTATCTTTATTAAATATATGAGTAGTCTTATAATTATATAACTACGTAATTTTAATTAAATAATTGTTTTTTTGTGTAATTTTCTTTAAATTATTATTTTTTCTTTCATTTCGTTCCTCATGTTGCACGATAACATATGTTTGAAGATGAATTTGTTGCAAGTCCATAACTTTGTTTCAGAAGTTAAATAATTATTGATAATTTAAAATAAAATTATATAATATTAATATTTCATAGACAATTTAGAATATATTATATAATATTATTTAATGTTATTTTAGATTATCTTAATTGAATACTACAATAAAGTTTCATAATATTCCACTCATGTTTTTGGCATATGTCCAATGAACTTCCCTTGCCCAACACGTACTTCGTTGTACACTGTCAGTAGAAGTCATCGTCAACCAACAAAAACCTTCCCTACCATATTCAATTCCCTGGACCATATTTGGATGCAGTGCGGAATATCATTGGGAGTTAAGAGGGTTGTTCATCTCCTGAAAGTTTTATAAATCTCAATTAAAATTATGATTTTGTTTTTTTTAAATTTAATGAATATTTAATATATTTATTTGTATATTTATAATTTTATTCTTTTAATATATAATTTATGATTTTGTCTGTCTCTAAACTTAATAATTATTTAATATATTTAAGTATATATTTACAATTTTATTTTTTCACTCTTTCATCTTTTTACTTCATTTTATATTTATTTATTATTTATTAATAATATATTAATTGATCCCTCTAATATTAATGATTAAGATCTACCACTGATTAGATGTAAAATTAATTAAAGAACTTTTGAGAATTTTTTTATTCAAAACAAAAGAAAAGGTTCACTGAATAGAGAAGATGCTATAGAAGTTACTAAACCTTATAAAAACACTTAAAAAAATAAATAATATTTTTCGGAGATGTTATTAATTATGTATGAAACAACATCAACGATCACTCCATTAAAAAACTAAATAAACACCGACTTTAATCGATATAAGGAGACAGTTTCTTTTGTTATGCCGTGTATCATACTTTTCAATAGTTTTTGTTTGGAGAAAAAAAAAAGTTCATAACTAGTCAACTAACTCGTCATATGTGTCAAACTGGAATTAATTATCATAGGACAATTACTCCTAATTTGCCAAGAAATTTTCAGGTGAAAATCATATACCTAGAAACCTAGATCTCATGCTCATTGAACATACGTCACAAGGTTACTCGGGTTTGGATCAGTACAAATAGAAGAGTGATGATGTTTTTAGAAGTTTGTGATAAGTGTATTTTTGATATATTTTATTATATATTTATTTATATAGAAAGTAAATATATGATAATATATATTAATAATATTTTAATATAAATGTGTTAATTGAAATAATAATTTAATATTTTTTTATTTTTTTACTTAAAAGATAATAAAATATTTTAATATTTAATTTAAATAATAAGTAATAAAATAATATTTTTAATATCTTATCAATAATTTAAGTTTTTTTAAATAATTTTAAGAATTATGATTCTAACAAGAATTATTTATAAAAAATAATTAAATGAATTTTAACTGTTTATTTAATCATATACAACAGTACTCCAGTAGTATTTTCAGAAGGATTATCACTGGATTCGGTAGAAGTTGGTTAGAATACTGCTACAGATTATTAAAAAAGCATTTAAAAATTATTTCGATATTTTACAAATAATTTTGTAAAACATTAAGAATATTATTTTATTTTCTTTTGTTTAAATTAAATATAAAAATTATTATCTTTTGTTTAAATTGAATATAAAGAAATTTTATTATCTTTTAAAAAAATTAAAATATATTAAATTATTATTTTAATTTAAGTAATTATAATTATAATATCTTTTATTTAAATTAGATATTAAAAGATTTTATTATTTTTAAAAGAAAAAAATATAAATATATGAATTTATTATTTTAATTTAAGTTATTATGATTAAGATATTATTAATATTTTTAATTAGAAAGAAGAAGTTGGAAATATTTTGTATACAATATAATCAATTATTTCTCTGCAAGTATTCATCGTGATTCTTTCGAGCATATTGAGTTTAAGAAAAGTAGATACGATATGTTTTACAATGAATTTTAGTTCTACTTGAAGTCACTCAATTCGATATGATGAATTATTTTTTAAAAGTATATTTTAAATTAAAGAAAGTGAAACGTGATTAATATAAAACAATAAACAAAAATAATGTATTTTTTCACATTAAATAAAATCATAAAGAAATATGTCATTTTTCAAATGTAACATAAATGTTTATTTCTACTTAAAAGAGTTAAAAGTACATTTATAATTTTAATTTATATATATATACTTTTAATTTATTCATTTTCATTATTTTATAAACATATATCAAATTGATAGTAAATAAAAGTGCAAATTGTAATTAACAAAATTAGAGAAGAACGCACCGTAAATGTGTTATTTTAGTGGATAACTATTTTATGATAAAATCACACGATATATTAAAATTTTAAAAAAGTCATACATGTTGTTCTAACTTCTAACTAAGGTTGTATCAACCAACTATTATTCTTCATTCGTATACTATTAAAAACAATATATTTTCATTTATATATTATGATATTTATATATAACTTAAAATGAAAAAGAAGGAGAAAGAGGGGAATTGAACGAGAAGTCTCTAGATCCATCTAAAAAATACCCTTCAAACAGCGATTTGGCAGCGATTAACTGGAATGCCAAGAACAACACGAGTTGGATTTTTAGGGTTCACAACAAACCCCATAACCTCATTCTCAATTCCTCCATAATACACCATTCCTGTAACTTTCTCTGGTATGGTTTCCGAACACAAATTATCCACCACCTTCAAGGAGAAATGAATAACCCCGTTTCGTCGACCCTCCCAATTCCTCAACCCGTAACAAAACATTCGAGGCACACTTTCGGACACAACATCATCGTTTTTGGCACTAAGTAAATCCAAAAGTGCAATCCTTGCCACCCCAATAGAACGAACTCCTCTGTACTTCTTGCATTGCACCTCGAACGTGACCGACCTTGCATGGGAAGGAACCTCCAACACCATTTTCTCCTTCCATGCATGCACTCCTTCATCTGCATTCACCATTTTGGTCGTGCAACAATTCAACGACTCAGCACGAACAACAACGTACGCGTTCTCCGCCACTGATTTTCGATCCACACTTATGTTTTCTCCCGACATCACCGTGATCTCCAAGGTGCGTTTCTGTTGTTTTGCCTCCATATCGAGAGTTTTAGAGTTACGTAACTAGATATGCAGAGAACTAAGTAATATAGTAAGTAGTTTTGTGTTTGTACGTGAAGAAAAGATTGTTTGAGACGAAAGGGTAGGAAGAGCGTGGGGGGTTAAGTAATGGAGTTTGATAAGAAAATACGAGGAAAGAAAGAACGAAAGAACACGTTGTTTGTTAACAACGTATTCTTTGAGGGGAAGAAATTTAAAATTTAACTCTTTTAGAAATCGTGTATGTGGAGAACAGCAAATGACATAAATAAGAAGTGTTGTTTACCTTTACTTGACCATAAATTATGTTGTGGTGATTTACATGAATGGCGTGGTAAGGTAAGCACATGGAAATTTACTTTGGCCCGGCATTAATTTCACGGTTCAACCAAAAGTTTTGAACGCTACGATGACTTTTTCGTTGCCAAATTTTCAATGGTTACATTTCCTGGGAATCTGCTTGTTATACAAGTTTTCTCAACTTTGACTAAAGGTTGGTTTTATTGTTAAGATACTCGTTTTATACTGCTATTTAATAACACACTATTATTGTTATTAAAATATTTAACTTAAAAGTATTATTAATAATAATTTTGATTGGTTAATAGTGTGAATAACCCCATGATTGTTTGTAATTAAATAATAGTGTAAAAGTTATTTATGTTATTCTTGTTTAGTTTTTTTTTAGGTTTGTCTCGTTTAATTTATTTTAAAAAAATTATATATTAAGATAAAAATAAAAATTAAAAATATTATAATTTTTTATGTCAGGTTATTAAATTATGTAGATATATTATAATATTATAATTTAAATTATAAATATTAATTAATTTAATTTTAAATATTAATTATAATTAATTATTTTAATTCATATATATAATAATTTTTTCATTTTATTTAATAAAAATATTAATTAATAAATAAAAATTTTAAAATTATTTATAAATATATATTTTTCAAAAAATACATATAAACAAATTTTAAATAAAAATTATTAAACCAACTAATCCACTAAAATCAATCCATTTGTTAAATTAGGATTTATAATTCATTTTAAGTGTGACGAATGAGTCCACTCTAGACACATTAACGCAAATTTTCAAGGTAAGCCTAAATTTAATGATGGATAATGTTGAGTGGGTACATAAATTGGTTGACGGTTGAGTGGGTTGGGTACCCTTACGATTGGTTGGAAAGACATTAATTTTTTATGGGTTTGGAAACTTTATATTTTAAAATAATTGAATTGACTCACATAGTTAAATAATTTTTATTATTTTCAAAAGAAAGTATTGAATAATTTTTCATTACTTTTTTTCTAACCATTGTTTCTATCTACATATAAATATTAAAAGTTAATTTAATTTTAGTTAACGAAAAATTTGATCCGTCTAAACCTTTAAATGTAATTATATTTAAAATAGAGAAATGTGAAAGCAATGAGGGGAGATTGATGGAAATGTTCCTGCATTTCCAAGAGATGATTTTGATGATGATTCAAGTTAACTACATTCAAGTCAACACCATTCAAGATGAATTTAAGGACAAACTGAATTTATGACCTAGGTGATAAAGATGATGATTCAAGCAAGTCCAAGATGATTCCTGAAGACTAGATAGAGTCTTAGAATACTGGATATGGAGGTACAAGTTGATGAAGTAATATTATGCATAAGCCTCCAAAGCACAAGTGTGATAAAATTCATAACATGATATTTTTCACTATCATAATTAATTATGATGCACCAGAAATGGAAAAATGATTTTCTCTATCATAATTAATTATACTGGTAATATAATCAATTATGGCAATTCAAATTTGAAAAATATATCCGTTTTAAAGAATAAATGTTTTTGAATACATCCTGATTTTCTCTATGATATTATTAATGTCCAACGACCATTTTCTGATGCTATTTTTCTATTTAATTAAGTTTTGATGAAAAAAATAAAAATATACAATTACAGAATTCGAAAATACAATTTACATTCAATCAGTTTTGAGAAAAGATTTTTGAACAAGGCAACAGAGATATTTTATACCTTTTGAGAAAACCCTTTTATCTACTGTCTTTTGTGCTTTCATTATTAATCACACTTGTTCTTGGAGATTGACATTCTACAAGCTTCTACAATTTGTTATCTCCATTATCCAGGTGTGTCTGTTCTTATTTTTATTACCTTCATCCTTTTTGCATTGGTGGAAAAGGAGGTTCTTTTCATTCCTAGTGTGATTCTAGGGAGGTGTTCATCCTTAGTGAGATTCTAAGGAGGTGTTTTCATCCTTTGATTTTTTCAAAGGAGGTTTTCATCCCTAGTGTGATTCTAGGGAGGGGTTCATCCTTAGTGGGATTCTAAGGAGGTGTTTTTCATCCTTTGATTTGTTTAGAGGAGGTGTTCATCCCTAGTGGGATTCTAGGGAGGTGTTCATCCTTAGTGGGTTTCTAAGAAGGTGATTGTCTTTTTAGTTAGTTTACTTTTTACTGGTTCTTCTAATGAGTTGATTGTAATTTGTAAACTGAATTTGAAAGATAGTGAATGGGGAGTCACTCTTGTGATAAGAGTTGACTGGGAACTAGATGTAGGGTTGGCTATACCCGAACCAGTATAAATCTCTGTGTGCTCTTCTTTTTCCCTTATCTCTTTCTCTTTTCCTGATTATATTATTGCTTCCGCTTTATCTGTGTTCAAACAAATTATTGATTCACAAATAAATTTTTAATTTGTGCATCAATTCACCCCCCTCTAGATGCCATTTGTCTAACAAGTGGTATCAGAGCCAGGTTAGATAAGATATTTCTAAACGATCTGTCAAGATGTCTATGCAGAATCAGGTTTACAAGGAAGGAGCTTCAATAAACAGACCACCATTATTTGAAGGAGAAGACTATCAGTTTTGGAAAGCAAGAATGAAAATATTTTTACAAACACTAGATTACGGTGTTTGGGATGCTGTACTTAATGGTCCCTACATTCCGATGAGAACAACGGAGTCTGGAGCTATTCTAAAGACTTTTGATCAATGGACGCCGGATGAAAATAAACGTGTCCATTATGATGTAAGAGCTCAAAATGCTATTGTTTCTGCCTTAACTCGTAATGAATTTTTAGGGTTTAACAATGCAAGACGACAAAAGAAATATGAGACACTCTTGAAGTAACACATGAAGGAACAAATGAAGTAAAACGAGTACGTAAGAACACACTCATCCAAGAGTATGGATTATTTCAAATGCAACAAAATGAAAGCATCACGGATTTCCAAACACGTTTCACACATCTAGTAAATCACTTGAAAGCATTAGGAAAGAATTTTGACAATGAGGAGTTGAACACAAAGATCTTGAAATCCTTAGACAGGATTTGGCAACCAAAGGTCACTGCTATTACAGAATCAAAGGATCTTACAAAAATGAATATTGCTACTCTATTTAGAAAGCTGCAAGAGCATGAAATGGAGATTATTTGAAGACAGGCTCATACAAACACATGTGGGTGGAAAATAAAAAATTGAAACACCATTTTTTAAAATTTGCCAAACATTTAGCTAAACCAAAACCACGATTTAAAAATGAGAAAAAAAATGTCTTCGTTTATCGTTTTTTTTGAAAAATTTGTCCCTTAATCAGTTTGATATTCGGACTTTAAGAATACATTATTTTAGTTATTTATATATGTTTTTTAATTTTTAATTTTAATAAAATTGATAAAACAATTAAATATAATTTTATCTTTTATATTTAATAACATTTGTTTAGCATTATAAACTTGATTACAAATTAAAATTATATATATATATATATATATATATATACTTTAATAATTAATTTATTAAATTTTAAAATCAATTCCTATCCTAATACAAGCAGGAAAATATATGTTTAATCCTTTAAATTTTATGAATTAAAGAAATTAATTACAGAAAACAGTGTGGAATTGCGATAATAGTATGAAATTTGAAAAATTATGTGAATTTGAACTCCATGAATAAAATCTTAGTGGGATTTTCTTCACGAGCTATGGAGGAAAAAGGCCTGCCGACAGCCGACAGCGCCACCGACCGGAGCATATGAATTTGATGCATGCATCCTCGATTTTGTCGGAAAAAGCACCAAACTGGTGAATTTTACTTTTCTTTTAAATTCATCGATTTAGATCATTTTTAAAAAAGTTATGTAAATAGGTAGGTTGTAGTTTTTTCAATACTGAAATTTTCTTTTTCTTTTTATATTTTTAAATATTCTTTTGTCGTCCTACTTGATAATTTCATTTATTTTTTTATATTTTAATAACTTTATTATAAATAAAAAATATTTATTAATAATAATTAACATCAATAATAATATTAATAAATAAATTAACAATATTTATTATAAATATTAATAACAATTAAAATATTAATGATAATTATAATATAAATATAATGATTATAATAAGTAATAAAATTAATAATATTATTATCATTGAAAAAATTATTTAATGAGTTTTTAAAAATTTTAATGTTATTTTTTAGTTAATAATAATAATAATAACTACTTAATAAATTTTGTTAGTTTTTTAATGTTATGATTATTATAAAATTTATTATTAATAAAAAATAATTATTGTACTTTAATAATAAATAATAAAATTAATAAGGATATTAATGGTAAAATAAAAAATTTATTGCAATATTCTTTTATTATAATTCTGATTGTCAACATTTTTTATTAATAATAATAATAATAATATTAATAAGAATAATACTAATAAACAATAAATATAACAATAGATACTAATTGTTTTATTTATTAGTATTATTATTAATGTTAATTATTTTATTTTTATAATAAATTTAGTAATAATAATAAAAAATAATATAAAAAGTTGTTAAAATATATAGAAAAAATGAAGTAGTATTTTTCCTATAAGATAAAAATATCAATAAAAAAGAAAATTGAAATTGTGTTTTCAATATTTAATCTCTAAAACTATTTTTAAAAATTAAAATTAAAATTAATAATAAAAATGTTGACAATCAGAATTATAATAAAAGAATAATTGCAATAAATTTTTTATTTTACCATTAATATCCTTATTAATTTTATTATTTATTATTAAAGTACAATAATTAATTTTTCATCGAATGTGTTCCAGATTTATGTACGGTATATATTATTAGGAGATTCTCGTTGGAGATATTATCCGTTTTATTATTTATTTTTGAATTTTATTTAATTTTAAAAAATGTATCATTAAATTTTTATATATATATATATATATATATATATATATATATATATATATATATATATATATATATATATATATATATATATATATATATATATATATATAAAGCTATCTTTAACCGAAAATAATGTTAAAATCTCTTCACCTGTTTGAAGGATACAATTATAGTTTTGATTCCCCTCATTTATCATTTTATACTTCTCACTTCAAACTCAAACACATGAAGACAGTCTTGTTCAACCATTTAATACCACCACAACTTGCTATATATATTTCTTTCATCTTCTTTTAAATTTTTCATGTCAAATTAAAAAAAAATTATTTTTAGTTATTTATATCTTAATCGCTTAGAACTTGTATTAAGTATAATTTATAAATAATTTTTTCTTAATTTATCAACACGTAAGAACAAAATGAACATATATTATAATTTTAAAATGAAGAATAGCTCGTATATTATAATTAACTTTAATATGTTATTAGAGGGAGCTTTATAAAGTTTAGAAGAATACTTTATTTTTTTAGCGCGTGCATGGACTAGAATGTAACATTTTCTTTTACTAACACTCTGTTTGTTTCCACTGATAGACTGTTCACGAAGATAGAAAGACGAGGATGACACACGTTTGGTTGAACAGAAACACGACGAAATGAGAGCGAGGAAAAGCGGGAGATGGGAGAAAGAGAATCTTCGCTGATCCACGAAGAAGAGCGACGAAAGCCTCCTGGACAAATTGAAATGTCCAACTTACTCTCACTCTGGAAGATTCACTGGTGCAAGCATGCAGAGAGATTACTAGAATATAATTTATGCAGAGAGATTCACTGGAAGAAATGGAATATAATCACTGGAAGAATGTGTGTAAAATGTAGACTTTAGATAGCGGTTCCACGTTAACCGCTATCAGATGTTCACTTTTAAGAGCGGTTAACATCTTAACCGCTCTTAAATGTGAACATATGATAGCGGCTAACCCTGAACCGCTATCATAGGTGAACATATGATAGCGGTTCCAGGTTAACCGCTATCTAAAGTCTCGAGTATTTATATGTCTGATCGATCATTTTGGCAAAGTAATCGATCAGATTTTCAAATACTCGAGACTTTAGATAGCGGTTAACCTGGAACGGCTATCATATGTTCACCTATGATAGCGGTTCCAGTTAACGCTATCTAAAGTCTCGAGTATTTGAAAATCTGATCGATTACTTTGCCAAAATGATCGATCGATTTTTAAATACTCGAGACTTTAGATAGCGGTTAACCTGGAACCGCTATCGAGGTGAACATATGATAACGGTTCCACGTTAACCGCTATTTAAAGTCGATCATTTGAAAAATTATATCTTCTAAAATATAATTTACTTTCATTTCATAATTATTTGTTATTATCAGATCAATATTAATTATTATTTTATATTTTATAATTATTTAATTATTAATCAAATAATTTATTTAATATGTCAAAATTATTTTTTTATGGATATGCAATGTACATAATTTTGTAATTATTTATTTATATAATTTTTAATAACTATTTAAAAAAAGTTAATTTTTTAAATTTGTTTCCAATTACAAACACTTTTAAATTTGTTTTTTCTTTTAAATATATAATCAATGTTAAAATATGGATAATTAATTAAAAAATTATATTTATAATCATTTGAACCTTAGTTTATACAAAGGGTAAAATGGTAATTTTCTTAAATAATCAATTAAAATTATAATTTTTATATCTCATATCAATCAAATCATTCACAATTTCCCATAAACTTTCCTTTCACTTTCCATTCATCCAAACAACTTTAATTTCATCTCCATTTCTCTTCAAATCCCTCCTTTTCCACTCTCTCAAATCATTCCAACCAATCAAACTATAAGTCTCCATCAAATAATATGATTTGTCACAATATATAAGACTGAACTCAACTTTGACTTTCCATCCTTTTTGACCAACAATATTCAACAAATAAAAAAAATTGGGCGCAGACCCATCTCACCAAAAATATAAACAAATAATAAATAAAAAACATTACAAATCTTCAAACAAGGTTGGGGTAGTTCTGACAACAACAACCTCATTAGACTTGTCGATCCCCACGAACTCATCATCACCGGAATCCTTATTAACCACCGTCCCCTTCACCGGTTCCGGCGCCGCCACCCTCACTGCAAAGCGAATTAACCCGTTAATCTTGCCTTCCCAGTTCCTCAACCAATAACTCAACACGTGCATGCTACTTTCCGGCGCAGGAAAATCGGAAAGAGCGATTCTTGCCACCCCAACGGGTCGAAGACAACGTGTAAGGTGTTCATTTTTCTAAATAGTAATTGGTTTCGGAATACGACGAGGAAAGAGGAAACATGGGAGAAGATGATGAAATTATTGCTTCGGTGTGTTTGGTAATTAAAGTGTGGACTTTAACTTGACTTTACGCGGCTAAATTTGAGACATTAACAATATGGTGTGTTTGAAATGGCCATTTTTTTTGAAATTGAACATGATTTGCGCATAATGCATCTTCATGAGTTGGGAACACGTTTCCATGTCCCTTGACCGTAACACGCTATATGAATGTTATTTATTTCACCAAAAATAATTTCTTATATATTCATTATAATCTTCATTTTAATATTTGTTGTTTGACTTTCACTAAAAAAACCTATTATTTAGACCAATAATTCTTTGATAATAATATCCGTGGTAATTACTTATGAATTAAACAACATATTTTTATTTACTATCAATCCTCGTTTACTTTTTATTATAACCTAGAGTCTTCTCCTCTTTTATATTATATTTTTATTTTTTATTATAACCTAGAATCTTCCCCCTTTTATATTATATTTTTATTATTTATTATATTTTTTTATTATATTTTTTTATTTTAGAATCTTCCCCCTTTTATATTATATTTTTATTATTTATTATATTTTTAATTCATCTTTTTATTATATTTTTATTTATTTTAATTTTTTTATTATTACATTTTTAAAAGAATCGAACCAACACCTTAAAATTGAAGGTCGATACTCCAACCACTAAGTTATTATAGGATATTCGATAATAACTTACAAATAAATTATATTTATATTTATCCATATAATATAAATATAAAATATATAAATACAAATATATTTATATTTTGATATATTTATATATTACATATTTATATATTTACATATTTATATGGATATACGTTTATTTGTAAATAAATATAACTTATTTATAAGTTATTATAAAAAAATCTTAGTAATTTAGTGGTTGGATTATTAGTTTTCAACTCTAAGATATTAGGTTTGAATCCTGTCAATGACAATTATTTTAATTTGATATAATTTTACGGTTAGTAATTAATATCTATATGTAACGTAGATAATAGACTTTTTTTGTAGTGACTGAATATAATTTATACACGTACTATTTTCTTTTAATTTATTAGAATACTTTTCAAATACAAAATCATGATATACTGAAGTTTTAAATCTGTCTCGAACATCAGAATTAATCTTAAAAATATTATAACTATGATATTAAAATATTCCCCTTCTTAAATTAAACAATTTTTATATATTTTAGCTAGTAAATTATTTACAAATTTTATTTTTTATTTATATATGTTTTTTTATTTTTAACTATTAAAATTTATTTAATATATCATTGTTTGTTAATTTTAGGTTAATTAATGATGTCTTTTGTTTTAGTATTTTTTTATTTAGTTTAAAATCAATTATGATTAAAAAGAATTGTGATGTAATTATATAAAATTTATACTTAATTATTTAAATAAATATTGAAGATAAATTATAAAAACAAATAATTATCTAGTATATCGATAAAAATTCAAGCCGAATTTAATTTAATCTGCAAATTTTATGTGAGTCATTCCATGCCTTTCTTCTTCTTCCCTTTTTTGTGTCAAATGCATTGCCGACTAGATCGAATATACTAACTTACGTTATCATCTCTAATTAAAATATAATGGAACGATTTTTATTTATTAAAAATATAAGAGATATAACTGTTTATTTAAAAATAAATAAATAATAAATATTATTTTATTTAAAATATGAATAATATAAAACATTTATTATTATTCATAGGACTATGTGGCATAATTTTTTCTATTCTACATAGATAATAGGTGTAAAACCTGGGTTTAGTCCAACTTAACCTTTTGGAGTCAAATAAAAAAAAAAAAAATCTATCGTTCAATCTTATGTTTTAAAATAGGTCAATTTTTTTTAATCTAAATTAGCTTATGTGTTTCTAGTGAAAATTTGATCGATTTCGATTTCTTAGGTTCTAATCAAATTTCAACCACGTAGATTCTTTTCACTTAGGCTAGCGACAATTTTCAATCAAAACGTGTATGAGAATCGAAAATGTCACAAGATCGAGAAATGTTATCGATGCAACTGATCATACAAATTGAAAATCGAAAGTACTCTTTTTGGTATTTTATTAAGAAATGCGAAATAAAGAAAACAAGAAAATGTATCGAAAAGAAACAAAAACAGTGCGAAATATTATAATACAGAGAATTGTAAATGCGAAAAACTCGAAATTGCATTAACTGTAAATGACAGAATTAAAATTGCATGAAAGTAAATGACAGGACGTCGAAATTACAGAAACGGTAAATGGCAAGCATTTGAAAATATAGAATCTTAAATTGCATTAAAGACAACTGGCAAGTAATTGAAAGTATGGAAACTTAAATTGATGAATGTAAATTGCCTGAAAATAAGTTACCAGGGAAAGTAAAGAAAGCGGTAAAAACAGTCAATGAGAATGAAAATCCAGATCGCCAGAAACTTCATGATTCGTCATTCTCCGGTAGACTTTTCACTTGTATTTCTGTTGTCTCTGCCAATTTCCCTTTTCTTCTTCAAGCTTCGTTCTATTTATAGACATCCTTCAATGTAACCTCCCAAGAGCAGTTAAAAAACTGTCGCCACGTTCCATGTGCACGTTCCTCGATTTTTACCTTAGCTTATGGTTTAGAAAACCTCTTCCACGTTTCATGTGCGCTTTAACCGTTTCTCAATTTCTAACCTTAGCCACGATTTGAAAAACCACTCCCCATGTTCCATGTGCATGATAACTGTTTCCCTCGATCTTGATTCCAGTTGTCGAGTATGATTTCCCTTAACCTTGACTTTACACTCCATACTTTATCATCGATTTCTTACTTTCATCGAATTTCCTCTATCTTCTGATTCTCGATTTCCATTCTCGATTTATGTGTTCACACTGTCTCGTGGTCATTGAATGTCTTCCAACCATCTTTCCGATTTATCAACTTTTTAACCAATCATATGATCTTCGATTTTCTCTCTTCCGTTTTTCGATCCTTGTATCGATTATTCACTAACAAAATGCCCCCTTGGATATAAACATTTGTACTAATTTTATATTCTTTCAAAAATATGTCCCGCCCTTAAACACTCTTGGAGCTCAAAAATAACTTTTTAGGGTTTAGGGTTTCTGGGGTTTTTTAGGGTTTTTGCTGCTTTATGTCAACTATCAAATCACATCACCTCCCACTATCACAACGCGCAGGCCTCGTATTAATTACCCTCTTCATATTTGTCGTTTCAAATACCCTAGTCGGTCTCTTTAAATATTTCAATCAATTTTACCCTTGTTTTTTTACCAAGAACCTAACCCATCTTTCTTCGTCACACCTTCTCTCCATCTTCACCCTTTCCACAAACTATAATGGCGACTTCCAAATCTTTCGACTTCTCCACCCCACCACTTTCATTGGTAACTTCGACTCTAATAGAGATAAATGGTAAAAAGTTTGCTCCAGTTCCCTTGATGGAAGAAGCTTCACAGAAAATTGCCGAGACTCAGGTACTTTTCCCTTATGCCGTTGATAATGTAGATTATGCATTTGGTGGTCCCATCCACTATTGTGGTGGATCGTTTTCTTCTTCCATCTGTCTTCCTTCAGAAAGTAAAGCCCTTATTCATAAATCTGAGGTCCGGATTGATTTTCTAAATGCTGTTTCAAAAGTATATCGAACGGGCCCTTCCCACAAAAAGCCTTTATACATCAGATGGTTTGATAGAGTAAAGACTAAGTTTGGGAATCACTGGAGAGATGTAGGGATCTTCGATTTTCTACATCTATCTCGATGCGATCTATCGTTCTTGGATATGTCTATATTTTTATCCGCGGTCCATTTGTGAAATAAAGATTTACACGCAATGGAGCTTCCCTGCGGTCCCCTTTCTCCTAATCTTTTTGAAGTTGCTGCAATCACCGGACTAAAGCCCACGGGGGAAAAATATTTTAAGAGTGATTTCCCCTCAGACGACTCTCTAAAATCAAAAATCGATTAGGATTCGAAAGCTTATGGACACTTCATCGAAAAACATTTTGTTGATGATCAATTGGTAGCTGTTTCTGACGAGGAGCATGTTGCTTTTCTGGTATATTGGCTCTGTACCCATGTATTTTGTCCTCGATCCATCCAAATCTCATCCCATTTTTATAATCTGGCCTACCTCCTCCACACTGGTCAACCCAGGGTTTGTTTGGCGAAGCTTTTACTGGCCCATGTTTATACTACTTTCGATGAGACTGTCGATATTCTGAATACACAAAGACCCTCAAGGAATTTCTCGGGTCCCATCTGGTTCATTCAATTATGGCTCACTTCGATTTTTGAAAGTATCCTTCCCCCAACATCCAAAGTTTCCCCAAATTTAAATTTAGAAGGTGCTCGATTATCGTCTCGACATTCTCTTCAAAAATCCTCCGATGAGGGTAGTTATCGAACTTACCTGAAATTTTTGTTAACTCAATTTCATTTTGAGTCAAGCATGACCCCTTTTTACCGTATATCATGGGAAAGTTAGTGACAGACTTCGAGGGTCAACCTGGTTTAAATCAAAATTCCCCGCTCTTACTCCAGGGTTACAATCGGAACTAGTAGATGTATGGAGTAACTATTTGACCCAGGATGTTCTTGTATCGGGCTTTCAATCGAAGGATATCCAACTTGTCATCTATTACCCTCAACTTTTTTCGCGGTAGTTTGGCTTAAGTCAAGCTTTACCTTTTTTCACTCTCGATACTTCCCCAAGGTCCAAGTTAAATGAATCGAATATAGGAAGAGAACTTGCCAAACTGTTGCCACAAAGCCCGATGCATTTCTACCCTTATGCTTTTGAATCGAATTACTTATCTACTCTTGGTTTTTCTCAATGGTGGAACGATT